CAAGCAGAAAGCTACCGCACACCTCTTCTCTCCCCGAAAATACTACAGGAAAAAAAAAAATGTAAAGAAAAGCAAAACAAATCAGAAAAGAGACCTCTCCTGCGAGACAGATTTCAGGATAATTCCCATTTTAATTTCTAATCACATTAAATACCTCCAGAGTGTTTTCTGAAGTTGAAATACGAAAAAAAAATCCAAAACAGAACACCAAACCCAAAAAAAACCCCATTGAGTGAAACGATCTTCTGAGACCTGGCTGCATTAAGATTAGACCGTGTTCCCCATTTCGGGTGAAAGCGGTGATATTGTTTTCCAGTACACCTTTTTCATAGGAGGTGCAGTTTGGGTGTTTGGGTCGACTGAAAGAGATAGGTTCGTATCTAGTGCGCGCCTGAGTATTTTTAGGACGCCTTCACAAATTTTCCCGAGCTCTTCCCCTTTTGCATTTGCTGTTACAAATTCTTCTTATTTTGTAATTATCACAGCACCCCCCTTAGCACGCAGTGGGAGGGAGAGAGTTAAGATGTCCTGCGAAACCCGCTCGTAAAGCTGCTTACTTCCATTAGAAACACATGAATATCCTGAAAGACACAGTGTATTTAAAACGGACTCAGGAATGTTTATCTCAATCCCTGATGCTTTAGAAATTGTGGAAGAAAACAGCCGCGACAGTACTGCTCCAAATTACCCTTCTGGCAGGTAAATTTCATTTGCTCATGAAAATCAAATTCGATTAAGGCTCTTGGTCCTGCTATGACTTTACTCCCGCTTCTTCCAAGAATCCTGAACTCTGCAGGAAGATTATTATTAGTGACTAAGATCACCCTCTAGCTCCTCCATTATCAGCTAAGATATTTTAGCGGGTTTAGAGGGATTTAACTCCGTGACAAACATATATTTTCAGCAATCAGACACGATTTTTTCCCTTCATGCTTATTAATTAGCTCTAAGCAGTGCATAAAAAAGTAAGAGTGGATTTCTTTGGTCAACAGTTTAGGATTGGGTTAGATTTTTTGATTTTTTTTTTTTTTGTTGTTGTTTTTTTTTTTTTCTGTATTTGTAGATTGTGATTAACCTACAAGAAATCAGTGTTCTCCTCAGCCGGGCATTCCCGCGGCAGGGCTGCGGAGGGTGCGTGTGTTATCACACAAAGACGGGTCTGGGGGCGGGGGGGGGGG